CTGGAAGTCGTTTTCCGGGTTTTTGGTGTTTGGCTACACCTGGAAAATCCAGTCAACGGAATCCATTTTCCGTTGACTGGGGAAAATGAGGCCAATTTGGCGGAAAACGACTTCCGCCAAATTTGGGTGGAAGTCCTTTTCCGCCTGAAGCCATAATTTTTTTTTTTTTGTTTTTTTTTTTAATTTAGAATAAAATAATTAAAATATTTAATTATACCATTCTACTCTCATTTTCCAGAAAATGAACCAAACACACCAAAACAGTTTTCCAAATGCAACCAAACACTGGAAAAGGAAAATGTTTTCCGAAAAATGACTCATTTTCCAGAAACCATTTTCCAGAAGTCATTTTCCTCCTTTCCAAACGGACCCTAAGGTCAGATTCAACTATATAATATATTATTTTATTTGCTAATTACCCCTCAATTAAAGAATTTAAATGGAGAAAAAGTATTAAAATTTAAAATAATTTCAAAATTTTCGCAACCATTCGTTTCAACTAATCAGAATGGGTTTGCAAAAATCTCTTTTATTATAAGTATAATAATAAATTATTAAGATATTATAGTTTAGCATTATCTTGTTCTTATTCTTTAATTTCATCTGGGACTAATTAATATAGAACCCATTTTAATTATTTCCATCATAGTAAGCAATCTGTTTATAATTTGTTGTTTCCTTTTCTAATTGTTACTCCGTATAGTTTAATTTTAATTTGGGTTAGTTAACCAACATAAATGACTAATTTTAGATTATTGTACTTCGCTATTTTATAGTAAAAGTTTTTAGTTCAAGCATCAAACTGGTGTAAATATATTTATTTGTGACCATTAGTTTATGGATAAATAATGCAAGTAATATAATAAATTAATTAACAATATATATATATTAATAATATTAGCTTTAGTTTTTATGATTTTTTATGATAATATATTACAACATTTTAGTACACTAGAGTATGTTTTTATGATAATATATTAATGAGTAAATGTTCTATTTCTCGTTTGATTTCACTTCTTTAGGTGAAAATATTTGATTGGTTTATTTTTTGTTAGGCATCAATCGGGTTTGACTAAGTTCAGTCCTTGCTGCGCTCCTCCTCCACTGTTCTCCGCCGGTCTCGGGTACGCAATTTGTCTATTGTGTTTAGCAAGATTCAATTCACATTGTGTTTGACATGTTCTTTGGTTAGTTAGGATGTATAAGAAAGCATCTAGAATTGACAAATGGTTATTATTATTTTACTTAGATTGGCTTGTACGTGATGAATAAATGTTCCTTGTTTGCGTTCATTAAATGCTACTTGTTTGCACTTTGTAAATGCTAAAATTATTGTAGTTGTTGTAGTAGTTATTATTATCAAAATTTGTTAAAATAGTGTTAACAAATGTTTAATTAGATTTATTATTATCTAGATTGGCTTTTACGCGATGGATAAAAGTTGGATGATAGCTAATCGACTTAGTACGGAATACGAAGATGGAGTTAGAAAATTTTTAGACTTTGCAAAGAGTAACCTTCCGAATAGTAATAACAGGTGGTTGTGTCCTTGTAAGAAATGTTGTAATCAGAAAAAGTTAGGTGAAGAGGACATATATGATGATCTAATCGTTAATGGGATTAATCCATATTATACACAATGGATTTGGCACGATGAACGCGATGTGTCTACGACATCTAATGTGTATGTTGACAATGAAGGTAATGAGTCTGAAGATCGGTTGGATGAAATGTTTCGCGATGTTGGAGTAGAGTTTACCAATCGGTCAAATGAGTTAGATGAATTATTGAATGATTCAAAACAACCGTTATGGCCGGGGTGTAGTAAATATTCCCGATTATCTGCTATATTAAAATTATTCAACTTGAAAGCTGGGAATGGGTGGAGCGACAAGAGCTTTACTGCGTTACTTGAAATAGTAAAGGACATGCTTCCAGATGGTAATGAACTTCCCAATAGTACGTATGATGCCAAAAAGATTTTGTGTCCAATGGGTATGGGATATACAAAGATACATGCTTGCCCTAACGATTGCATATTGTTTAGGAATGATTACAAAGACTTGCATGCATGTCCAATATGTGGGGCATCTCGTTATAAAACAAGCGAGAATGTTGCTGGTAAAGTACGTTTGAAAAGGCCACCAGCTAAAGTTTTGTGGTATCTCCCAATTCTTCCAAGATTTAAGCGTCTGTTTGCAAATCCAAGTGATGTGAAGAACTTAACATGGCATGCAGATCAAAGGATTTCTGATGGCAAGCTTCGACACCCGGCTGATTCTTCTCAATGGATAACATTTGATAATGCATTTCCTGAATTTGGTCACGAGGCGAGAAATCTTAGACTTGGACTTTGTACTGATGGTATTAACCCCCACGGGAATCTAAGTAGCAAGCATAGCTCGTGGCCAGTTATGTTGATAATTTATAATCTACCCCCTTGGTTGTGTATGAAACGAAAATACATATTATTATGTTTGATGATTTCTGGGCCAAAACAACCAGGTCATGATATAGATGTTTATTTGGCGCCTTTAATTGATGACTTGAAGCAATTATGGGATGAAGGTGTGTTAGTGTTTGACGCATACCGAAAGGAGACTTTTAAGTTGCATGCAATGCTTTTTTGCACAATCAATGACTTTCCAGCGTATGGAAATCTGTCTGGATATAGTGTCAAAGGTCATAAGGCATGCCCCATATGTGAAGATAATACATGTTATCATCAACTTGTTCATGGTAGAAAGACGGTATATATGGGGCATCGGAGATTTCTTGATAAATTTCACCCTTATCAAAAATTAAAAAAGGCATTCAATGGGGTGCAAGACTATACAGATGCTCCACAACCATTGACTGGGAATCAAGTATATGAACGAGTTGAATGCCTTCAAGTTACTTTTGGTAAGACTCAGAAGCTTAAATCTCAAAGAGGAAAGAGATCAAAATCTACAAATGAGAAGAGTCCGTGGAAAAAGAAATCTATATTCTTTGATCTTCCATATTGGAAGACACTAGATGTGAGACATAGTAGCATGTGGAGAAAAATGTATGTGATAGTCTGGTTGGAACTCTTTTAGACATAAAAGGTAAGTCCAAAGATGGACTCAATGCTAGATTGGATTTGGTTGAAATGTGTATACGACCTACATTAGCACCACGTTCCGAGGGTAAGAAAACATATTTGCCTCCCGCTGCTCATACTTTATCAAGAAAGGAGAAAATAAGTTTTTGTGAGTGTTTACGTGGAGTAAAGGTACCACAGTGATATTCATCAAATATCAGTAGACTTGTTAATATGCAAGATTTAAAGTTGGTGGGGTTGAAGTCTCATGATTGTCATGTCTTAATGCAACAACTATTGCCAGTGGCTGTTAGAGACATATTGCCTAAAAAGTTGAGATACACCATCATAAGACTTTGTTTCTTTTTCAATGCAATTTGTGGAAAAGTTATTGATCCAGACAAATTAGATGAATTGCAAAATGAAATTATTGTTACACTGTGTCAGCTAGAGATGCACTTTCCAGCTTCATTTTTTGATATCATGGTTCATTTACTTGTGCATTTGGTTAGAGAGATCAAACATTGCGGTCCAGCTTATTTGAGGTGGATGTGCCCATTTGAACGGTACATGAAAGTATTAAAAGGTTATGTTAGGAACCGATATAGGCCGGAATCATCTATTGTTGAAAGCTATGTTGCTGAGGAGGTTACTGAGTTTTGTACTGAATATTTGGCAGGAGTTGAGTCTATTGGAGTTTCTAAGAATCGGCATGAAGGAAGAATTACTGGAAAGGGTACTCGAGGAGTCAAAGTGAATGTTATGCCTCGTGAAGATGTTGAGCAGGCACACTTGTACATCTTGCATAATACAAGTGAAGTCGAACCGTATTTAGAAGAACACAAGGCGTTGATTAGGGAGCAAAATCCAAGAAGGACAGACATGTGGATTGTGGGCGAACATAATCGAACTTTTATTAGTTGGTTCAAAAATAAAGTTCTTAAAGAGAATAATGTTTCTGAAACTGTTTCATAGTTAGCACATGGTCCTGGTTTGGATGTTTTATGTCATAATGGATATGACATTAATGGGTTTTCTTTTTATACAAAAGCTCAAGATGAAAAGAGCACTATGCAAAACAGTGGAGTTACTTTGGTTGCAAATTCAATGCATTTCAGTAGTTCGAAAGATCCAAATCCCGTGTTTGCAGAGTTGTCATATTATGGTGTGATTGAAGAAATATGGGAAGTTGATTATGTTTCTTTTAGGGTCCCGTTGTTTCGATGTAGATGGGTAGATAATAAACATGGTGTAAAAGTTGATGAGATAGGATTTACCCTTGTAGATTTTAATCGGGAAGGACACAAAAATGAGCAGTTTATAATGACATCCCAAGCAAAACAAGTCTTTTATATTAGTGATCCTTGTGACAAAAAATGGTCCATTGTTCTTCATGGAAAGAGACAAATTGTTGTAGATGAGAATGAAGATGTTAGTTTTGATATTGAGGAAATACCACCATTTTCGTCAAGTTTATTGCCTCCCGTTATTGATAATGATATAGATGAAGTGCATGCATCACGAGATGATCATCGTGAAGGGATATGGGAGAATTGATTTATTATATATGTAATGCTTTAATTAGGTATTTATTTTGTTTTTATATTTTCTTATTCTAATATTTCTATATATATTCTAATAATTTTTCTTTCTAAACAGGCGTATGGATTCCACAGATGATCGTGGTACTATAGAAGGTACTCATAATACTCAAAGTAGTACTCAAACTACAAAGAAGAGGGGTGCCACTCGTATGCAAAAAATCATTAGGCAACGTAATGCTTTTGGGAAACTAAAAGTTGAGCTTGATGGATTCGAGCCTGTCTACGGGAAAGCTGGCAATGAATTTAAAAGTTATGTTGGATTAGTGGCACGAATCAATACTCCTATAACAATAAAAGAATGGTCGGATGTCCCAGGAGATACTAAAGCTACTATTTGGAAAGAAATCCTGGTAAGATAGATTTAGATTTATTTAAAAAGTTAATATAATTACATTTCTTACTAATAAATAATCTTGTTTTGTAGAGTACTTTTGATATTCCCGACACCATTGATATGAAGAGACATTGGTTAAGCTATGTGGGTGATAGGTGGAAAGATTTTAAAACAAAATTGGTGAACAAGTATATATATGGTATTTATGCAGGTCAAAACCCTTGTACTTATAATTACATTTATTACTAATAAATAATCTTGTTTTCTTACTAGTATATATACGGTTGCTATGCAGGTCAGAACCCTTGTCAAACATACGACTTCATTGAACAAGAGACATGGAATGAGTTTTATCAGTCGCATACGGGTGAATCATATGAGGTATCATTATTATTCTATCAATATTTTGAACAAGGGATATGAAATTTATCATATGATTAATATTTGGTATGTATGTAGGCAACAAGGAAAAAAATATCAAGACATAGAAGCTAAGAATATTCATCCACATCTTTTAGCTCAAGGAGGTTATAAAAGGTTGGAGAAGATGATGATGGACGAGAAGTTGAAAGAACAACAAGCATGTGCTGATGCAGATCCGTCGTATACAATGAGTCCTCCAAGTCCCATACGTAGAGCCGAAAAATGGAAGAAAGCAAGAATGGACAAGTCAGGAAATTATCGCACTGATTCAACTAGAGTGGTGGCGGAAAAAATTGTAAGTACATATCTTGTCATTTACTACAGTAATAGTAATTATTATTATTGAATAATTTTTATATATGTTAGGATGCTCTTGAGTTGCAAATTTCTCAAGGAGAATTTGTTGAGGATTGAAGAAAGGATTCATTGACTGTTGCGTTGGGTACCGATGAGCATTGTGGACGTGTTAGAGTCATGGGAAGAGGACATGGCATCAAAAGTGTTTTTGGCCATGCAAAACATCGCCAAAAGACTCCTGAAGATGTTCAACAATTGGTTGATGCTGCTGTTGGTGCTGCTGTTGCAGAAGCGTTAGAAAAACAAAAGCAGGAAAATATTTCTGAACGGGAGGAATTTGGTCAACGTATAACAGAGCAATTTGAGGCGAAAATAGCTAGTATGATGTTGCAATTTAGTGCTATGCAGACTCCTTTACAGCCAAAGCAGGTGACAACCGTATGTGTGGATGCTGTGCAACCACCTCCCAGTGACAAAGCTAGTTCCCCAGACCCTTTTAGTAATTTATCGGCTGTAAGTTTTCGTTTATAGTTATCTTATTATTATTTATCAATAAAATTTTATATGATTTTTAATTAAAAATTATTGTAGTTAGGGGCACGATGTCAATTGTTTTTAGAAGATCCAATTAGACGTCCAGTGGCATATGGGACAGCTTACAGTGGTAGACAAGTTCATGGGGTTGTACTGGATGTAAACAATGTGAAAGTGAGTATAACTGATGTTGGTGATCCAACTGCACATGTACCATTCCCTACCGGTGAGGTTAAGCTTGTAAGTGATGCAAGCCAACACTTTATCGTTTGGCCAAAGAAGCTGGTAGAGTTATGTACTGAAGCTAATGCGGTATGTATACTGATAATATTTCTATTTTAAAATATTAAATAATTTACTTTTTAAAACTATAATTCTTACTTGTATTATAATTCACAGTTAAAAGACAATACCATGGACAATAGTATTGCTCTAGATTCTTTGATTGCTGAGTGCAAAAAGGATTTTACAATAGCTCGCCGTTTCGAACAGAATCTTGTGATCCATGTGGCTCGTGGTATTATGGGCAAGATTGAGTATGACTTGCACCTTGAAAGTGTGGAGATAATGCGTTTCTTAAGTATGGACACCATCGATGTTTCTCTAGTTCAGTTCTTTATAAGGTAATAATAAGTTCTTTATGATTGTTTATGCATAATAGTTTTATATTTACATTCTTGATTATTTATGTATAATTGGTTCTATTTGTGAATAGGGGTATTTACATCAATTTTGAGTTGGCATCAAAAGACACTTATGGTTTCCTAGGTCCATATTGGATTCAACCAAAAATGAATAATATAGAAGAAAGGAAATCATATATAAATGCCACCATGCAGTATGGGAAGAAAAATGTGTATTTAGCCCCATAAGTTCTCAAGTAAGTTTTAATTACGTTTTAAATTAAAGTTCTTACATATAATATATTTTTATATTATATTATATTTACTTATTTACGTATAACTAATAAATTACTTATTTGTAGTGAGCATTGGATGCTGATGGCGATTTGTCCTAGATTAAATGTAATTTTTTTGTTTGATTCACTTGGTCATGGGCCGCGTGAAGACATTAAACATATAATGGAAACGTATGTAAATTTATATAATGAATTAATAGTTATTATTAAACAAGTGATGTCAAATATTTATATATATTTTATGTCTTATATGAATAGGTGTATGACTGCAACAAGCATGATGAGTGGAAAGAAACAAGCATGGTGTATGACTGCATCGAAATGGACTACATGTTTGGTAAGTACTTCTTTCACTTTGTAAAACATGCAAACTTATTGTTTCTGTTTCTATTTTAAAATAATTTTATTGTAATTCAAATGTAGTGTGCTATACAAAAAGGAAGCACCGAATGTGGTTATTATGTGATGAAATTCATGTGGGAAATTGTTTACAACAACCTAAGCAAAGGAATGGATAAGGCAAGTAATCTAATAATACATATTTCTTTTTCAAATGTTGTTTAAAATATTTAGTTATTTTTTTTTTTATTTTTTTTTTAACTTTGTAGATTTTGGAAAGACAAGGACGATTGCCCTACAACAAACAAGAGATTGATGACGTTAGAAACAAATGGTCTAAGTTTCTTATTGATGAATGGGTTAATAAAACGTTGTTAATTTGATACTAGTTTATGTTTAAAACTACTTTGTGTTTATTGGTTTGATGTTAATTAGTAGTTTTGTTGCATTGTGTTATTTATATTAATTTTAGTTTTAGTATGTAGTTTTGTTGCATTGTGTTATGTTAATTAGTTTCATATTTAGTATGTAGTTTGAATTAGTTGATGTTGATGCTGAATGTAACTAGCTGCACAGGTTCTGATTGCACAGCGCAGGTTGGGCTAGAGCATAAAACATTTTCTGTATAAAAAAAAAAAAAAATAGATACGACGTCGGCTATTGGTCATAGCCGACGTCGTATATATATTTATAATTAAAAAATAATTAAATACATACGGCGTCGGCTATTGGTCATAGCCGACGCCGTATATTAGATACGACGTCGGCTAATTGCCAATTAGCCGACGTCGTATCATTTAAAAAAAAAAATTAAATACATACGGCGTCGGCTATTTGGCGGAGCCGACGCCGTATGTATATATATTATTTAATATAATTATACGACGTCGGCTAATAGCCAATTAGCCGACGTCGTATCATTTAAAAAAAAAAATTAAAAACATACGACGTCGTTTATTTTCTTACAACGTCGATTTAGTCGACGTCGTAGGATAGCCGAGGTTAAATGGGGTCATTTAGCCAAGGTTAAAGCTATATTCTGTAGTAGTGTAAAAATCTGTGAATCACTACTGGAAATTATGAAATTTCCGACCACCTGAAAGTGATCTTAAATCAAGTTGATACCAAAAAGTGGTCGGAAATAGCAACAAAGGTTTTTCCGGATACCAAAAGTGGTCGGAACAAAGCTTTCGACTTGATTTAAGATCACTTTCAGGTGGTCGGAAATTTCATAATTTCTAGCAGTGAATATTGCTATATGGTTTAATTTTGATGTTTGTTGCTTGAACATGATGAAATGTGTGGTGTTTGATGCTTGTATGATGAGGGTATGATGCCTTGTTAATGTATTAATGATGTGTTATTGCTATAATGATGTTATGTGAAGTGTGGAAATGATTTAAGGTCTGAAAATGGTGGAAAACGTACAAAAAGGATTGCTGGTTCGAAGCTGAGAGGTTACTGCCTCAGTCAGGGAAATAACCTGACGGAGCTAGCCACGGAGCTAGGCTAGCTCTGCTGGTCAGGTCTGTGTGAGCTACGGCTCAGAGTGGCGGACCCCTTGGGGTTCCGCCACTCTGTGCCGCGGCTTCCTCGCGGAGTAAGTGGCAGAACTTCTCCAGTTCCGCCACCTAGCTTTGCTAGTTAAATGTTTCGGTACCAGGCCCCCCCGTGGCTCAATCCGAGTTCGGGTTTCGTTTCGGTTCGTGACTCATGGGCCCTGGTGGCTTGTGGGACTCGGGTTTGTGACGACTCGTTTGCATGAAATGTGTTTAAATGCTATGTGAGAAAAACCCATTTTCAAACCAAGCATGAAGTATGATTTAATAAGTGTTATTTGAGAATGTTGAATTCATGAGAGTTTAGTATGTCATGAAATTGATGACGGATTTTGTATAAATATCCAATGTGCATTGAATCATTGTGTTAAGGGTCAAGTAGACATGGTTACATGATCATTTATGCATAAGTTATCAATTACCACTTCTTACACTCGAACTCACGATTTTCGCACTAAAAGCTATATGTATTTACAAGTATGAAAGGCTTATATAATTGCCTTAAAAACTCTTTCCAAAACCTATATATCTATTTTGAAAACCTATAACTAATTATACACTTTTTGAAAGGCATGTATGTCATTATGATTCCCGCGATAAAGGGAAAGTTTCACTTGATGTTATGCCATTACCATTGCTTGCATGTGAGGAAAATGTATATTTTGGAGGCTCCCGTTAGGACTATGTCCTTTCGAATGTATGATGAGATGTTATGATGATGAGAAAGGTCCAGTAGAAAAATCTTGGACGATTATGATTGAAGTAGCTTGGTCGAAAAATCCTGGGCTACTAGGTGGATACTACTCGCTGTGCTTAGAATCCTAGTAGGGGGTGTGCACACTGAAGGTACGATACTTGATTCCAAAGAAAGATATGATATTGTAGGTGATATGAGTATTAGGCCGGCTGATATTTGCTGAGCTCGGATAGGTCCGTTCACGAATCGTGAAGTTCTTACATACCTCACCACTGATTGAGTCAAATGTGAAAGATTGAGACAGAATGAGAAACATGAGATATGATGATATTGATTGAGGTCCTCCACTACTATAACTATTGTATGATTTCCTTGAGAGTAAGAGTATTCCATAATAAAGTCATTCTCATTTACTAAGTTTATATTATTACAACACATGCATTTATCTATGAGTATATGAAGAGTATAGTATCCATTTGGCTATTCGAGTACCTACATGAAAGTATTGATTTGCATTACTCTTACCCATTCTTACTCATGTTATTGATTATGAAGCACCTTGGTATAAATTTGTGGGTTGTTGGCATACATGTATAGTTGTTACATTGTACTT